AGGGTTTCGATTCTCCACCTTTGAATTAATTTGAAAAAGAGAATAGGATCAACCAGCCACAGCTTTGAAACCTTAATCACAACTGTCTTAAAAGGTGAAAGCATCATGTATTGTCCGTCATCTTAATCCTGAACACGCACAAAGCATATCAACCAGATCTCTAAAGCTTGAATTTGATCACAGCCCAATAGCCATGATGAGTGAGTTTTGCTTGGACCATAAGGATAGTTTGTCCAGCCATGGTTTCTTTTATAGATGTATTATGAGGGGATGAAATATTAGATTGTACTATTTTTCATTTAATTGGACTTAATATTTTGTTTTGTAAATAAATTTAATACCGTATTAATTATAAAAACATATATTAATCGTATATTTTTTATACTATAGATTTGTATTATTGAGGTATTTTAATACCACTAAAACATGTAGTATTATAATCTAATTTAAATGTATTATTCTACACATCTTCTATTACTAGCAATGCACGATGTGCGTTGCACATAAATAAATTTAAATTATATTATTTTTATAAAAAATATGAATTTTATATGTAATTAATTTAAATAATAAATTAGGTGTCAAATAATTAATTCATATTTTAATCAATAATTTATTTTGTAATTCCTAATTTATCATTTATTTAGATATTTATCTGACACTTTTAGGCGTATGCACATCTAATTATATTATATAATTATTAAGTTTAATTTTGTTAGTTAGATTGATTAGATTATTTATAATATTATTATATTATTACATGAAAAAAAAATATAATAAATATTTAACTATAAAATTCAATTTGATAATTATATGTGTATAATAATTTAACATATATAAGACTTTACTTTTTTATATAGATATAGATAATTATATGTAACTGTACTATTAATAAATGAGTTCAAAAGAATTTAGAAGTTTTTATAAAAAAGTTCAAACAAGTTAAAAGTCAAATAAACATAAATTAGATAAAAGTATATAAGTGGGTATAATTGATTTTATTACAATAATTATGGATAAAATAATAAATCAAAATTTTTTTACACATGCTAACATTTATAAGTACTAGTAATGCATACGTGTGTTGCACGTGAAAAAATTTAGATCATAAAATTTAGATTATAGCTTTTAGAAATACAAAGTGTATGAAGTTGACAAAGCAAAAAATTGCTGATGTATGCATTTAATGGTTTCTTGAATCCAATAAGAATTTCTGGCATTACAACATAAGAACAATAAAACTCCTAAATATAATTTACTAAATCTAAAACTANACGTGAAAAAATTTAGATCATAAAATTTAGATTATAGCTTTTAGAAATACAAAGTGTATGAAGTTGACGAAGCAAAAAATTGCTGATGTATGCATTTAATAGTTTCTTGAATCCAATAAGAATTTCTGGCATTACAACATAAGAACAATAAAACTCCTAAATATAATTTACTAAATCTAAAACTATTCTACCTCCACATGAATTCAAGAAGTTTGGTAACAAAACTAATTATACTCATAATATAATAACTCCTAAAACACTATAAGCCTACTAATAATAAACAATTAAATATTATGAGATTAGTTTAACAGATTAAATACTTCATTCTATGAAAAATACCTTTTTTTAAGCGTTCATTATCACTTTTATTGGAACACCAATTCAATTGAATACAAATTAATTTTAGTTCCAATTACAAAAACTATTGTAAGGTAAATGCAATAGCCAAACCCAAATAGATGAAAAATAAAGTAAAGAAAATATCATACTAGCAATAGGCATGTCCTGACAGAGAAAAAAAAAACTCACGGGTTGACAACACCAAGTATCGTTGACCCACCATTCTTCACAGCCACAATATACTTAACGACGGGAGGATAGAGATGCAATGCCACTAATTTTAAAAGATTTTGAAGAAAAAATTTAATGCAGAGATATAAAACCAAATATATTAATGGAGTTACTAGAGAGATATAAGTCTATCGTCCTATTTCTACCTATATATATTTCTAAGTTCTTCATGGTCAAAATGGAGCAGAGAGAGTTTTCAAATTTTTGAGATCTAAGTTTTTTCATTTTTCAAATCTAAGCTCTTAACAGTCGAAGGGGATGCTATACCGTCCATCAGCCACACATACAAAGACAAAGAATCTCAAACAATGGGGGGTGAAAGGAGGGGTTTGTTTTTGGGTTTGTGGACTCGCAGTGCTTGGTGGATTTCATTGGAAGGTGGTTGTGACGGTGGAGTTTGATGGTTTGGTGGGTTTGTGTTGTAGATTTGGGGGGCAAATTGGGTGGGTTTGTGTGGTGGATTTCACTGGTGGTGGAGGCGGCAATTGGTGGTACATGGTGATAGCGTTAATGGTGTTAATTGTGTATAAATTAGAATTAAATTTGGGGATCAAATTTAAATTATTGAATAAAATTAACCATAATTGAAAGAATTTTGGAGATAAATTACCTTAATTAGTTGATTGGTTTGATTTTATTAAAATTTTTAAGACAAATTTGATTAAGAGATTGTTAATCTCAATGTTATAAGGGTAATTTTTTTTTTTTTAATGAAATAGTTAACGTCTGTCATACAAAAAAGGTGCGGTTGTCATAAGTGTTCAAATGTCAGGGGATTTCAGTGTTATTTTTGAAATGTAAAGAGTGTTCATATAATAAAATCAAATGTTAGGGGGTGCAACTATAATTTACCCTATTTCATATATATTTTATGTCTATTTCTATCACATCACCTATTTTATCACAAATATAATTATTTGAGTTTATTAATACTGTGGCTCAATATAATTTGTATATAAGATATTATTCTTATAGGATAGTCTGTACATGATATTTGTTTAGGTCATGTATTTTGAGAAAATTTTATCGGTTTTTAAAAGTTATAATGGGTAAGAATTAATTTTAAATTATGTAATTAAAAAAATAAAAGAAAAGAAAAATTACTATTTGATATAGTAGTATTAATTTTTTAAATATTCGAATTTTATGTTGTACCATGTCTTCAAACATTGGTTTTAACTAGTCCTTCGATAATACAAATCATATTTAAATCTGAAATTTAATACAAAGTTGATATTTGAAGAAATTAAATGTCAATCGATTGTTATTCCTTAATTAAATTTAAAGGAGAGACTGAGAAATAAAAATTTCGGTAAAATCAATTTTTCTTAAATGTGAGGCCCATAAAACTATTTTTGTTTAGGAATATTAGTTGAACGAGTTCAAGTCGAGCCTGAAAAGTTTGTTTTTTAATTAAGTCTAAAAAATTATTTAAGTTTGACTCGTTTAAGAAACAAGTTGAGCCTGAACGAGTCCAAAATAAGTCAAGTTCAAATATTTACAAATAAACAAGTCTAAATCTTTCGAGTTTGAACCGAAGTTATTTGGCTTATTCTTTAAATGTACCTACAAAATTTATTCAAGTTTGAAGTTGTTTAAAAAGTGAAGCGAGCGTCTCGATTAACAACTCTATTTTTTCCTGAGTTCCCTGTTTCTCAGACTGTTGGAATAACACATGAACTTGCTGTCTCCCCCTCTCTCTCTGGCTCGCACCATGGATGTTCTCTGTTCCAGGGCTCTCTGGGATCAATATTGAACTATCGCAAATACCCATAAGGGCACGTGTCCTATTGGATCATTTCATAATCTCCAATTCTCCGAGGATTTTTTCACACCATGGAAGTGTCAATCCCTAGTCTATGATCACTGGTTACTCCTTTTACCTCTCTCTCTCTCTCTCCCTAGTATAGAAATGCATACGAATATCTATATATATATGCATGTATACATAGATTGGGGGCATTTGAAGCTTTTCTGAGTTTGAATATGTTCAATTGTGTAATTTAAGACTGTTAAATCACCAAAAGTTGTTCTTTTCTGCATACTTTTCTCTTGTATACGTGAATTGTTTGTGATGAACCGATAATGTTGATTGAACTAAACCCTTTTGGGGGTTTTCATTCTTTTGAGTTTTATGTGGGTTAATAAGGGATTAATTTGGAAATTATGTTGTGTTTTTTCTTTATTAGATTACTGGTGAACGAGAGACCACGGGAATAATTACAGTGGTATAGAGAGTTGCAACAGTCCAGCTGAATTCAACTATATATAGCATAGCAATGTCTAAAGCTTTCTTATGAGTTTCTCTGATTTGACCGCAAGTTCTCTTTAGTTACTCATATTTCTCGATTTGGTTCGTTTAGAGAAGTAATGGGGTCAATATTGAAAAGCCAGAAGCTGTTTAAGGAATTGAAACTGGAGGAAAANAATATTCGAATTTTATGTTGTACCATGTCTTCAAACATTGGTTTTAACTAGTCCTTCGATAATACAAATCATATTTAAATCTGAAATTTAATACAAAGTTGATATTTGAAGANCTGTTGATAGGATAAGCAATTTACCAAACAGCCTTATTGGGCATATTCTCTCATTTCTTCCTACAAAATACGCTGTTGGAACAAGAATTTTGTCCACCAAATGGAAGCAGTTGTGGACATATACCAGCNACTGTTGATAGGATAAGCAATTTACCAAACAGCCTTATTGGGCATATTCTCTCATTTCTTCCAACAAAATATGCTGTTGGAACAAGAATTTTGTCCACCAAATGGAAGCAGTTGTGGACATATACCAGCAATCTAGATTTTGATGATCAGCTATTTTTACATCCTCCTGATAATTATTGTGATCAGTGCCATACGAGTTTCATGAAATTTGTGTATCGGGTGATGCTTTTACTGAAGGTGTCAAATTTGAACAAATTCAGTATCAAATGTTCTGAATTTTCTGATGTTTCAGATCTTAATGCCTGGATTTCTGCAGCACTGTCACATGATGTTCGAGAACTTGATCTCTACGTTCCTTTGAAAGGATCTGGTGGGCTGCCTGTTGGCATTTTAACTTGTAACACACTTGTGGTACTAAAATTGGGAAGAAATTTGTTCTCTACATTCCACGTTTGGTTTGTCTGCAGAATCTCAAAACCCTCCATCTTTATTCAGTTGAATTTAGCAATGACGAGTCAATTAAGAGGCTCTTTTCTGGTTGCCCCTTGCTTGAGGACCTGGTTTTACTCGAATGTGAATTAAAAAACATTAATGTTCTCAACATTTCAGCTTCTGCCCTGAAGAGTTTGATTATATCCTATCCTGTAATGAACAGCATATCTAAATTTTTGAAGTACAAGATTAAGATGGAGCTCAATACCCCTAGTCTTCAATACCTTGAATACATTGATTATGTAGCAGAAGGCTACGCCACAAGAGCTTACATTTTCTTGTCAAAGCTCATATTGATATTAAGCTTAGATTGAGTGACTTGTTATTTTATCCAACATCGACAATTGAGCTTGCTCAAGGAATCTCTAACGTTCATAGTCTTCATTTATCTGGTCATCCTGCAAAGGTTAGTTTGCTTTACTTTGTTCTGTTCAGTGACACTGCAGTTTCATGTATGTATAAATACTCATACTCTCAATGTGCAATGCCTTTTTAAAGTTTTCTGATTTAAGCTATGTTGTATTCTTTGACTTCTAATGACTATAATTATTTTCTGGCATGAAGGCCCTTGACTGGAGTAGCTACAAACTACCGGTGTTTCATAATTTGACTTGTTTGGAGCTCGGTGCTGGTTGTCCTGGATGGCTGTTGCTGCCAAAGTTACTGGAAAGCTCACCACAACTGAGAACTCTAGTTTTTAAGGAGGTGGGTGAAGCAGTTCTCAATTATTAAAGAAGCTTTTTGGCATTTTCTCTTTATAATTTTTTTACATGTCTTTCTTAGGGGCTTTGGCTTGCTGACGATGAACATTACTGGGATCATTGTGGGCCTGTGCCTACTTGTTTGTTGTTTAACCTCAAGGTAATTGACATAGGAGCATTCAAAGGGAAAAAGGGTGAGCTAAAGATTGTCAAGTACTTTCTGAAGAATGCAGAAGTTTTGGAGACACTAAATGTCAGTCCCCTAATGCCTGAGGCAGAAGAGTTGAAGATTACCAAGTTGTTATTGAAAATACCAAGGGGCTCAAGCAGTTGCAAAGTTGTTGTTTCTTGATTAAGTATTTTAGATTTCCAAATCCGTCTAATCTATTCTGTTGGTTACTTCTTTTATGAACATANTCTTGATTAAGTATTTTTAGATTTCCAAATCCGTCTAATCTATTCTGTTGGTTACTTCTTTTATGAACATACCACATAGGTATTATCAAGATGACTTTCATGGCAAACTACTTTTGATTATCAGTTAGTATACTTCTTGCTGGACTTTTGATATGTAGGAGAAGAGACTGATTAATGCAATGCATGATTTTCCTGTTCTCTGGCATTGATCAAACTTCCTGGAGGTTTGGATTCTTCACCTTTCAATAATTTGTAGGGTAAATTACACTTAGTAAGGTTTTTCACTTAATCAGATAGATCCCCTCACATTTGACATATTATGTCTAAACCTCTTGAAATTTGTACTCCTATAACACGTAACTCCTATCGTTAGTCTCTTTTAAGGTAATTGTTAAAATTCGTTAGTCTCTGTTAAAAAATCATATTTTTTAGAATTTAAGAAAATAACAGATGATTTTAATAGTACGTTTTTGGTTATTTGCAGCTTTGTTAGAATGTACCAATTAGGGCATTGTGAAAACAAATTGGTTGTTTCTTTGATTATTGGTGTTAATCCAAATATATGTTGCAGCAGGACATGAGTTTTGGTTTATCAATTTTTTATTTTTTTTTGTGAAATATATGCTATGTTTCATTCTTTTTGTTTTTTTTTTTTTTGGTTTCCTTACACCATTTAGTAAATTGATAGCAAATAAAAATAGAAAGCACTCACTGTTACAAAAATTTTAATTGGTGGCAAATAAATATAAGTTTTGTTTCATGAATTTTTAATGACTACTTAACGGAAACTAGCAATAGTGATTACGTGTTACACGTGAAAAAATTTCAGAAGGTCTAAGTGTAATATGTCAAAATGTATCAACGGGCTTTTAGTTAAATGGTACTCCTTATTTTATAAAGGTTTTGTCTTCTTGAGGTTAAGAGTTCAAGTCCTCTTCCCTCCTCCCCCTCCCCAAAAAATTAAAAAAAAAAAAAATATGTCAAAATGTGATGGAATCTAAGTGATGACAAACCTCGCGAGGTCTTGGTGTAATTTACCATAATTTGTAAGAAGAAAATAAAAATCAAACACCCCTAAATCCTTGTTGCTCCTTGATAATACCCAAATCAAGGTACTTAATTATAGCATTTTGAACACCAAAAAGAAAAGAAAGAAAAAAATAATTTCTACGACCATTAAGTTTTTTTATTATTATTTTATGTATTAATTTAGCTCTTTAATTAAGTAATTTAACTGAAAGTTCTTTTCCTGTCATTGAATTAAATTTACATACCACGCCCAATTGTACTGTTGAAGGTTCTAAATGGGCATAAAAATTAATTGAGAGGTTTAATTAACACAGATGACATAGTTTAGATGACATATGTGTAATTTATCAAGCATTTTATTTTATTGGTAAAATCAATTTTCTCCGAAAGCTAGGCCTATAAAATACGAGTCCTATGAATTCGTACTTCCCCAGAATGTTCGAATAACATAAGAACTCTTCTGTTTCTCTCTCCTCTGTCTACCCATGGCTGTTCTTTGTTCAACACCTCTTTCTTGTTGTGATCAACATTAAAGAAACTCACCTACCCATTTGGCCACATAAAATATATTTGGATTAAATGTATTAAATAAATCAAATATCTAAGAATTCAGATATTAGGAAGGGAATGTTTGGAACGTTTGTTTTAATTTTAATTTTATTTATAAAATATTTCTATTAGTCCTACACGTGAGGTTTTCTGTGTTTTTTTTCATGAGTTATGTTTGTCTAATTCAATTAGGAGTGTGGTTTCCTTAAAATTAAGGAGTGAAAGTCTACCACTATCCCTAGCCTTTCATCACTGGTTAGTCCTCTATCTCTCTCTCCCTCTCTCTCTCAACTATGCATATGTGTGTGTATATTATGATGATACTGTCGATGCATAAGTACGAATACGTAGATTTATGGCGCTTGAAGCTTGACTTTGTTCTATTTCATGATTTAGGATTTTTTTTGGGGGGGTTTCATTCGTATGAGTTTTATTTGGATCAATTACTTTTTAAATTGGAAAGCTTATTTTGTGTTTTTGTTTATTAAGATTACTGGTGAATGAGAGATCATATGAATAGTGTTATGGTGCGCAGGGTTGTGCTCCAGTCCAGTACATAGCTTCTCTAGCTGGCTAGTTTGGAGTAGTAATTGGTTGGGTCAATGTCAAAACAGCCAAAACTTTTTGAGGAAATGAAGCTGGGGGAAACTGAAGATAGGTTCAGCAATTTACCAAACTGTCTCATTGGCCATATTCTATCCTTTCTTCCTACAAAATACGCTGTTCGAACAAGCGTTTTGTCAACCAAATGGAAGAAGATGTGGACTTTAATCAGCAATCTAGACTTTGATGATCAGCTGCTAACTTTACACCCTCCAACGAATAATAGTGATCAGTGCAAAGCGAGTTTCATGAAGTTTGTTTATCGGGTGTTGCTTTTGCTGGAAACGTCAAATGTGAATAAATTCCGTATCAGAAGTTGTGCAAATTTTGATGTTTCATACGATGTCAATTCTTGGGTTTCTGCATCGCTATCACGAAGTGTTCGAGAAATCGATCTCTATCTCTACATCCCTTTGAAAGGATTCGGTTTGCTGCCTGCGACCTTTTTGTTTGTAACACACTGGTGGTACTAAAATTGAACACTATATGTGTTATGAATATTCCAAGTTTGGTTTGTCTATAGAGTCTGAAAACACTCGATCTTACATCAATTAAATTTAATGATGAAGATTCCAGTAAGAGGCTCTTTTCCGGCTGCCCTAAGCTTGAGGATTTGGCTTTACGAGGATGTCAATGGCAAAATATGAGTGTTCTTGACATATCAGCTCCTGCACTGAACAGATTGACTATTATAGATTGCGAGACTAATACCACCTCTTATACAGAATTTTATGAGTATAGGATTGAGCTTAATACTCCAAGTCTCTTGTACTTGAACTATGTGGATTATGTAGTAGGAGGCTATGCCATGGGGAAGTTAAACTCTCTTGCCCAAGCAAATATTGGCTTTGCGACAAGCATTGACTCATTTGAAGAATACTATGAGATTTATTACAAATCGACAACTGAACTTGCTCAACGGATAGCAAATGTTCATACTCTTCATTTATCTAATGAATCTATTCAGGTTAGCTTGCTTCACATTTTTCTTTTCAAATGGAAGTGTTGTCTCATGTGTTGTATAAACCGTCTACAGTTCTATATCCTCATCATATTTGATCTTTTTTTTTTTAGGGAGAATTATATCTATATTCCCCTATATTTGAAATATTATACACAAACTCCCTGAAATTTGTACGCACATAATATTTAGATCTCGTATATCCATTAATAAATTATACGTAGACACCTTGAAGTTTGTAAACGTGTAATATTTAGATCTTTCAAATTTAAAACATTATACTTAGACTCTTTATTGGTTACAGAACTAACGAAATGTATTAAACAACAAAATTAACTCAATTAAAGATAGAAGATATTTTGTCAATTACAGTTTGACCATCTGTTTATTTTTTAGTTTTATTCCAAATAGATAGTATAATCGTATATTATGATTTTTAAAGAAAAATTAGATTTTTATTTTTGATTTTTTTTTCAATAAATGATATAATAGAACATGAATTTTTGTTAGAAATTTAAAATATTTGATATTCTATCTTTGATTGGAGTATTTTTGGTTCAATTATAATATTTTAAACTTGAGTAGTCGAAATATTACACACATAAAAATTTTAAGGGGTGTGAGTGTAATTTACTGACCAATAAACAAACGAACCTTAATGGTAGGGGTCTAAATGTTACATGCGTGTAAATCTCAAGGAGTTTGTGTATAATATTTTAAATGTCAAAGAGTTTAAATGATTAATTGACAAACTTTATGAAGTCTCGATGTAATTCTCCTTTTTTTTTAACCATTTTGGACTAAATTTGACTACAAGTATTTTGTTCTATGAAGGTCCTTGATTTCTGCGAACTGTCTGTTTTTCATAATTTGACTATTTTGGAGCTCGATGTTAACTGTCGTGGATGGCCATTGCTGCCAGACTTACTTGAAAGAACGCCACAACTGAGAGCTCTTGTTTTTAGAGAGGTGGGTTAAGCAGTTCTCAATGGTTTAAGAACATTTCTGGCCTTCTGTTCTAAAAGCTTTTCATTTATCTTCTCAGGGACTATTACATTGTGATCATTCACAAGAATTCGTCGACGATTGGGTTCCTCCTAATTGTGTTCCTTCTTGTTTGGTTTTCCACCTGAAGATAGTTGACATAAGGGAATTTGAAGGGCATGAGTATGAGCAGAAGATAGTGAAGTACTTTTTATGTAATGCGAAAGTACGTCTCTTGATGGCCAAGGAGGAAAAGTTGGAGGTTAGAAGAAAGTTATTGAAAATGTCAAGGGGTTCAAGGAGTTGTAAAGTTGTCCTTTCTTGATTCAGCATTTCACCCAAAGAGGAAGAGTTGAAGATTACCAAGTTGTTATTGAAATGTTAATTTCTATTGTGCTCAAGACAAATGCATCATGTTCAACACTTTGCATACCCTTTAAAGGGTCCTTCGTCATGCGTCAGAATGATAGTTTAAATTAGCTCGGATTTTTGAGGTTAGGTCCAGGTTCGTGAATGTAATCGACACAAACGTGGATATATACTCGGGTGAAAAAAAAAAAGATTCAGAAGCTCCGATTCTAGCACTCCTAGAGTCAAGATTTAACGAATTTGTGTGGACCATAAGGTTAATTTGTGGACAAATTGTACAGATGCAACTTGTTTTGGGGATTTTTAGAAGATTCGATGAAGGAACAAATCAACATAACTCAATTACGGTGCTGGTGCACAATGGTTATAAGGTAGGATAAGCCAATGAAACTCTTATTGCAACTTCTTGTTCTGATTCTCTCAACCAGGAACTACGTTGGATCAAGTCTGAATTTTCAGAAATTTACCCCGAATAACTTGAAATGACACTTGTGTATCATGCTAATCACTGCAAAACGATATCACCATTTAGTCCCTTATTGCTCGTGCTTAAAGGCACCACGTTATTCATAAAATTTTAACGTATAACAATAATCAATTTTAACTATAATTTAGATTGAGTTTTGGTTTTTCATAAAATAATAATTTATTTTTTATATGAATAATAGCTCGAAAGTTTTATTTATGAATTTTATATTATATTTTTTTTTTGCATGGAAGCGGTGATTTCATTTGTTTTTTTTTGGGAGGGGGGGGGGGGGGGGGG